TTATATAGCTACATACAACACACAGTACTATTATATTTATATAGACACATACAACAGACAGTACTATTATACTTATATAGATACATATAACAGACAGTACAGTTATATTTATATAGATACATACAACAGACAGTACTATCATATTTATATAAATTTGTAGTGCATACTGGAGGGATTTACACATTTTAATAAAAAGTTTAGAGAAAACGACCTTTATACTCCAGATATATATAAAAGATTTTTTTATTTTAACAAACGTTTCATCTTTGTGGATATATGAGGGTTAATATACACAACCTCTTTTATATATATCTGGAGTATAAAAGTCGTTTTTCTAAACTTTTATCAAAATATATTTATATAGATAATGTATATATATATATATGTGTGTGTTTGTGTGTATAGCTTTATATTTTATATTTGTTTTGTACAATTCTACCTAAATTTATAGATTTAAAATTTATTTCTAAGTAGAAACACTAGCAGCAATTTCTTCTTACAGACATTTAATAAAGTTTAACATTGTAAACAATTATTTGGGTTTCACAGGAAGGAAGGTCAAGATCAGCTATATCATTTCCAGAGTCCTCAATTGAAGGTTAGTTTTCTTTCATATTTTACAGTTAAATATCAACTACATGTATAATACTTCAAATATATATTTTAACATTTAACATAATACTTTAGGACAATACGGGACCTATTGGTCCATCTAGGCTGTTCCATCCTTAAAACTAAATTAAAATGATCAAAAAAATAAAATAAAAATATTTTAAATCCAGCTCTTATCATTCACATGCTTATCAAGCTTTTTCTTAAACTCACTTAAATTTACTGCCTCTACAACATCCAAAAGCAACCCATTTCAAAGGTAACCACCCTGTTAGAAAAACAAAACTATCTTAGCTGAAAATGACTCCTACCTTGTCAAAATGTATATTTGTGTCCCCTAGTCCTACTATTCTCATTGTTAAATATAAGAAAAGATGATACATCAACACTATCAATGCCCTTTACAATCTCAAATGCCTCAATCAGATCCCCCCTAACTCTTTGCAAAGCATCTTTTAACAGACTCTCCAAAATTTTTCCCATAACTGATGTAAGAGTTTTAACATCATATATATTAAGGTATGAAACTCAAATGTCTGTTTTTCATTAATCTTTTCTTCTTTTTTCTCATTAGTTGGAAGAACTGAAGTACGGAACAACCAAACTCAAATCCTTGGAGTTTCAATACTTTATTTTATCTTCATAATTTTAGGACTTTTTGTTGTGTTAACAGTTCTTTTGCTGTTTCTCGGGCTTTTTCTTAGTAAACGCAAGTGAGTCATTTTATAATTTCCCAAATTCTAGATATTTGGTTGTTACTTTTTCTCAGTTCTAAAATATTATGTTTTTATTTCACATTAAACTTCTGCAGTATTCAGCGGAAAAGCTAAAAGTTTCCACAAAGTGCAGATTCGGGATTCATAAGTAAAGATTAAGTAAAGTAAAAGAAACCAAGCATATACAAATTTAGTTTGAAACACAAAAATTTAACAAAACTTTTACAGTGCTTTGTTACCAAAAACTTTTTGGGTTACTTAATTCTTTATATTCTTGCTGCTGGGGTTGACAAGAATGTTGAAAAACTGCTACAAAAGGCCAAAATCAAAAGTAAAATCAAGAAACAAAACTATATCAAAAGAAGGAAAGTCGAGTATCCTACACGTTACATATTCCAACCCAGATCTGTATGCACTCCTAAGCCAAGCCAGGTGTAAAAGTTTCTGTAGATTACCTTTTGAATAAGCCTTCTACCAAGAATTCATATTGAAACACATATGTTAGCTTGAGACCTAAGAACAAAGGTTACAGTAAGTAGCATTTACCTCTACAAAAGGATTAGCACATGTTTATATCCAATCAATAAGAATTTCATAACAATATGCAGAAGTAGTGTGGAAATGTATAAATATATATACTACATGAATATACCTAAATAAAGATGTATTTAATAGTAGTTATGGAAGTGTGAAATTCATGACTATTACAGTCATCAAATTTCTAGGATTCTTTAACATATACTTTGATAAGACTTTTTAGAGCTGTTTAATCATTAAGAATCTAATATTTTAAAACCTATGAAATTTAATGGGGTATGGAATTATAGTTAACAGGTCTAAACATTTTTAAATCATTTGCTTGCTCTGATGTTTATCAATGCTTTTCAAAATACTCGTTATAAATATGTAATCATATATGTGTAATTTTCTTTTCAAAATATCATGACCTGTGAAAATAACTTACCTTAGAAGGAAAAGTGCACAATGTCAAGAAACAACTAATGGCTTCACTAATCCTGGCATATCAGATACAGGAACCTGGTCTGTAGCTTATAAGGTAACTGAAGCTGAAGCATCAGACAGCCCTGTAGTGGAAACTTCCCAAGCCATAATACTTCAGAAAGGAAATGGTAAATTTGTTGTAAAGATGTTCTCAATAATACATATATTATAGTAAAATACAAAGCATTTAGGTAACTTGAACCACGTGTTTGTACTTCATATCCAAATTAAGAAGTAATATTATAAATATATGTTCATGTAAACTTTATAGAAAATTTACTTTTAATGCTTAGTATTGATCAAAAATGACATTTGCCTGCATTATTCCTTTAGTTTCATCAAAGATTTATGATGTAAAAGCTTTTGACACAAGAGTTGCCCCCCAGTGGCACAGTGGTATGT